GGACTCCAAAATACAAGAATTATGGGTTGCAGCCTGGGCGTGATCACTATTGTTAGTGAAAGTGAGCGTTGCCAGTGTGCGTTATCACTTTCGCCAACGAAAGTGAACGTTCCAGAGAGACTTCATTCCTGATGAGCTGCGCGTTGTCACTTTCGCCAACGAAAGTGAGCGTTCCAGAGGCACTTGTATCAGGACAGCTTGCGCGTGGTTACTATTACTCACGAAAGTGATCACGCGCAGCCCTTGACCTCCTGCGTTGCCACTATTATGAACAAAAGTGAATGTTCCAGAGAAGCCTTCAACTCTGCAAGTTGCGCGTGGTTACTCTTGCTCTTGAAAGTGAACACGCACACGACATAAAGCTTCTGCGTGGTTACTCTTGTGAAGAAAAGTGACAACGCGCAGAACTGGGTTTCTATAAATACCTGATTGAAGCGCAAAACTGGGATCTTTTTGCTCATTTTCTGTTTTGTTAGTTAGAGTCTCGTTGAGAGAGAGTGGAGAGAAGATTGGGGTCGAAGCTTGAAGCTCCAAGAAGAGGGATCGGATTGGAGCTCGTGGCCATGGCTGCTTTGCATTCTTCTTCATCTTCTTCTTCTTCTTTCTCTGTTTTTGTTGCAATGTGTGCTTAATTTCCCATAGTTAGGGGTTTATGGAACTCGAATTGATGTATTGATTCGACTTTATCTTCTGAACTTTAAGTTCTTGGATTAATTGAGTTGTTAATTCTGCTTTTCATGCAATCTCTGAATGGAAATTCATTTGATTAATCAAGAGGAATCTTTACCAATGGGAATTGGATTGTTTGCTCCGATCTGAATTGGCAACCAGAGTTTAGGAATTTCTTAGGGATAAGGAGACCTAATTCTGCAATCTTATAGTTCTAATTCTTAATGCAACCTGAAATTGAATCTCACCTAAGGGATTAGGGAGGTTTAGTGGATTGTTAGGATCAATGAGTTAAGGAATTAACCTTTGGCTAGATATATGTGAAACTGATTGTCAATTATTCAATTGCTTGAATGTTCAGAGGATTTAATTGGATTGATATTGATATTCTTGTGAAGTAAATTCCTAACTATCCTTCATTGCTATTTCATTTTATCACAAATCTTATACTCTGTTTCTCTGCAAGTTCTTTGCTTTAATCGCTTTGGTTTATTGCTGTTATATGTTACAAATCTCCTTCAAAAATTCGTATGGCTCAAATGGTTATAATTCTGTGAAGTGGTACTTGAAACCTAAATTCCCTGTGGAGACGATATTCTGATCTTAAATTTACTCATCACTTGCTGCAATCCTAGTGCACTTGCTAGTGTTAGATTGCAAACAACAGCAGTGTATACCAATTTTTCTCAATAACATCTTCTTTCCACAACTTCTCAAATCGCGATCCTAACCAAATGATCACACAAAATCATGATCAATGTTAAGATACATTAATCATATACCCATCTACTAGTGGGTTGAAACTACCATTTTCTAATTTTCACAAAAGTGGCTTAAGGGTCCTACAATTGTTTCTTATACTTTAAATGAAATAATATAAGCATAGAGGTAATCAAAAACAATTATTTTCCCCTCTTACACTCTTAAGACAGCACCTCTAAAACAAGAGTTTTGAACCCCCTAATGCATTTTTAGTAAAACAAAAAAATATCAAAATCATCTATTATAAACCATAGAAGGATTAAGCAAACTAAAACACAATTTAGAAGCAAAAATTTTGGGCAAAATCTCATCCTTCATGCCATTGTTCCAGCACCCAAAAAGAGGGAGAAAATAAAAAATCCAATCGGTTCAAAGTGTTCAAAATGATAAAAATAGGCGGAATAGTAAAAAAAATTTATGAACTTACTTGGAAAATCAAAAGATTAGAGTCAAAGAAATTCAAAGCCTTTGAAAGGAGAAGAAGAGCACTCCATGGCAGCCAAGAGAGAAAAATTGAGTTTGGTGAGTTGATTTTATTAATAGGAAAAAAGTAATAAATTAATAATATAATAATAAGATTTTCACTAATTTTTTGTAATTAATTGAAATAATTAGATAAAAATTCCAAAATTTAATATTAAGCATAATTATAAAATAATTTTTGACATTCTTGCCCTTTCAATTTGTGCCAAAAAAATTTTTTATGCAATTTTCTACTTACGCGTATAATTAATTTACTTAAAACTAACTAGAAATTCAAAAACAAACTCAATAATTACCAAAAAAATTATTTTTATACTCCAAATAATGTTCTTAACTAGAATATAAATTTATTTATTTTAAGTAAAATACTATTTTTAGTCTCGTAAAGCAATTTTAACCGGTACCAATTGACACTTTTTGAAACTAAAAATTTTTAAAATTAAAAATTACTAATTTTTTTTAAAAAATATACCTAACAATTTTGTCTAAAGCATCTGATGTTAATTCTATCCCTATTTTCCCCAAAAAAATAAGAACTATACTCTAACTTATAACTACATTAACAAATTAACTGTTTAGCAAAAATGAGGATGTTATATCTCTTCCCCACTAAAAGAAATTTCATCCCCAAAATTTACGCACCTTAAGAAAAAAGGTAAGGGTGAGAATCCCTCATTTTGTTCTCTAGCTCCCACATAGCATCTTCATTAGTGGTTCCACTCCATAGTATTTTTTAAAGTGATTTATTAATCGGGAAGGTTTTTAGAAATTTATTTTTATTATTTTAAGTAATTTTTTAGACTAAATTTTTTTAAATTTTATTTATATTTTTAACTTAATTTTATTCAGTATAGTAAAAGGTTAATTATTATAACAGAATAGTTGCACTTTAAAATTTATAATATTTATTATATTAAAAAAATAGTATAACTTTTATTTTTATTAAAAAAAGTGTATTAATTTAATAATATTTTTTACAGTACACAAGATTTTTAATAATATAAATCTTTAAATGTAATATGAATAACTTTCACATTAATTTTTTATATAAAATATTTTATAATTAATAAAAAATATTTTAATATAAAATACTCTGTGCATTCATCGTGCATTACACATTCTACTAATTACTTTAATATTAATTTTTAATATAAATACTAATTATTGTATAAAAGCATTTTTAAAAATAAGTTTTAATTTTTATCATTTTAAATGATTTTTTATATATTATTTTAAATGATTTTTCATAATTTATTCATGGATTTTTTAGTATAACATAATATAATATAATATTTATTGTTTAAAAATTTATTCTCAAATAATATATTGATATCTTAAATTATATAAATAGAAAAATTTTAATTAAATATTATTTTTATATATTTTTTAAAAAAAGTGTATTAATTTAATAATATTTTTTACAGTCCACAAAATATTTTAATAATATAAATCCTTAAATGTATAAGTTCTTAAAAAATTATAATAAGAATAACTTTCACATTAATTTTTTTATAAAAATATTTTATAATTAATCAGGACAAAATAAAATATTTTAATACAAAATACTCTGTGCATTCAACGTGCATTACACATTTCACTAATTATTTTAATGTTAATTTCTATTATAAATACTAATTCTTGTATAAATGCATTTTTAAGAATAGGTTTTAATTTTATCATTTTAAATAATTTTTTATAATTTATTCATTGATTTTTTAGTATATTATAATATAATATAATATTTATTATTTAAAAATTTATACTCATAAATTATATATTGATACCTTAAATAATGTTAATAGAAACATTTTTAATTAAATATTATTATTTATTTTAACTTAATATTATATGTATAATGCAGAAGAAATTCACTGATTGTAAATTTTAAACATATATGTCATATATAAATTATTAATTATAAGTACTTAAATATTATAATTAAAATAACATTTAAATGATATATATTATATAAAAATATTTTAAATTTTTTTAGGAAAATAAAAAATTAAAACAAAATACTAGTGTAATATACAAATTATAAATATTAAAGTATTATTATCAATGTGGTAATTTTTAGTAAAAATAAAAGTGTTCATGTATAATCTGATATATTTAAAAAACCTATGTAGAATTTATTATAAAAATAATTCTAAAATAAAGCTTTTACAAATAAATCACTCTATTTTTTTTAAATAAAATCATTTTCAAGGTCTTACGGTTATCCTTAACCAACTTTACAAATGCACGTGAAATCACCCACTCAGACTCGAAAATGAAAAACAAAATTCTTCTTTTAACTGAAAAAGAATAAATAAGTCACCCTTACTTAGTGTTAGCACCACCGTTCAGTTTATTACCAAAATTCGAACCGACCAAATCTCTCCATCTCCCAGCCGTTTCCTTTTCCTTCTCCGTAGAATAAACATTAACCAATACCAAAAACACTCTTTGGATGCTACAATTATCATAAAGTTTTATTTTATAACACTTTCACATACTCAGCTCTCACTCTCTCTTTCTCCCACTAACAATAACAAATTTGTATCTTTTGTGCGTCTTCTTTCCACCTCCATTTCCCAGATATAAAGTTCACACATCACCAAACAGTGTGTCCAAAGCTAGAACCGCTGATTATTATTATTATTCTTACGTTTTATTATTATTATTAATAATAATAATCCTTTACTAAGTTCTAATTTCTGAATCCTTTTAATAGTTTTGAGCCAAGCCACTGTTTATGTTGTTGTAGGTTGCTCTACTTAAGTACCCCCTTTTCCCTCATAGCCTTTCTTTCTTGTCACACACCCTTTGCCTCACCCTTTTTCAGTTTTTAGAGAGTAGCAGCATAAGAAGCAAAAGGTTGGTTGTTACAACATGCCCTTTTCTCATTGTTGCTGCTTGCTATCATGGGATGGATGATGATATGATAATGAAACAAACATTGTTGACCCTCTTTTGTTTTCATCTTCTTTTCCTTCCCCCTTTCTACTACTGCAGAATAGTTCTCATCAAAAGTAGTCTTGATTTCTCTACCACTGTTTGATTCCCCACAGTTTTGCAGAACACCACCCATATACCCGTCAAGGAAAATGGGAGATAACAAAGACCAGGATTTCTTTTCACACAAATTTCCAACTTCTTCTCAGGTAAACTAACAACCCCTTTAAATAATAACTTTTTTTTTTGTTACCTTGTTTAGTGTATCTGTTTCAGTTTTTTTTTTTTTTTATATTGAAGAAAGAAACAATCAGGAGAGATCATTTTGAAACTGGAATGCTAATAGTTTTTTTTTTTCTTTTGTTTCTTTTTAATCGTTCTAACCATGTGATTTGATGCAACAAGGTGGTGGAAGAGTTGAAGGAACTATTAGGCATGGCTTTTCCCATAACAGCCATGAACTTCTTGGTGTTTGTGAGAGCAGTGGTTTCTGTTCTCTTCCTGGGTAGACTTGGAAGCCTAGAACTAGCAGGTGGTGCACTTTCTATAGGCTTCACTAACATAACAGGGTACTCTGTTCTTGTGGGTCTTGCAGCAGGTCTTGAACCTGTGTGTAGCCAAGCCTATGGAAGCAAAAACTGGGAGCTTCTCTCTCTCTCTCTCCAACGCATGGTCCTCATACTCCTGATGGCAATAATCCCCATAAGCCTTCTCTGGTTAAACCTTGAAAAGATCATGCTTTTCATGGGGCAAGACAGTGGCATAACAGAAATGGCATCAATCTACTGTTTCTACTCTCTCCCAGATCTTCTCACAAACACCTTGCTCCAACCCTTAAGGGTGTTTTTAAGGTCTCAAAAGGTGACAAAACCCATGATGTATTGTTCCCTAGTGGCAGTGGTTTTTCATGTGCCCTTGAACTATTTGTTGGTGGTGGTGATGGGACTAGGGGTGCCAGGGGTGGCAATGGCTTCTGTGTTGACAAATTTGAACATGGTGGTGTTGATGACAGGGTATGTCTGTGTGTGGAGGAAGAAGGAGATAGTGATGAAATGGGGTTCTGGTGGGGGAATGTTGTTTGGGATGTGTTCTGGGTTGGGGCAGTTGATGAGTTTGGCTATACCTAGTTGTTTTATGATATGTTTGGAGTGGTGGTGGTACGAGATTGTCACTGTCATGGCCGGGTACTTGCCTACTCCTACTCTCTCTGTGGCAGCCACTGGGATTTTGATTCAGACAACTAGCATGATGTACACTGTCCCCATGGCACTAGCAGGTTGTGTTTCTGCCAGGGTAAGTCTCTCTGTATCATCCCCGTACTCTTTTTTTTCTCTTCATTATTTTATTTAGAGTTTTATTAATCTGAGCATGATCTAATAACAACTCAATTTTATATTATTTAATATTTTAAATATTTTTATTTTTGTAAAAAAATTAATTATTAGATGCTGACGTAAATTTAAGATGATAAGATTTTTTATTTAGTATGAAAAATGTCCTTTTTTTCTTTGAGTTCGTTATTTTTTGTTTTAATCAGTTTTGAATTGAGTTTTGAGAGTTACATTCTGAGAAATGATATTTTAATTAAATTTTTTATAATTTTTTCTTGAGTTAGAAAGAAAAAAAAAAGAAAAAAAAGTTAAAGAAAAAAAAGGTCACCTGATAGAGGGAGACCTCTTTGGTTCTTTACTTTTTTTTATTACCATTTCTGTTGGTTGTGTGAGAAGGAGGATAGGGACTAGAGAGTGTCATGTAGTAGGTTGCTGGTTTTGTTTCTTTCCTGTTTTTCTGTCTGTGTGACTTGATGTTAGAACTGGTTGGCAGGAAGCAACTGTGCACTTCTAGCAATTTGGCGTATGTTAACAGGGGTTTGAAGTCAAAGTGGAAGTGATAAGTTCAAATTTGCAATTCTTTTTAATATAAATAATTGTAAATTATAGTAAATAGTACTATGAAGGATTACGCTAACAGGTCGAAGTGAAAGTTATTAAATTCATATCTTAATATGACTTATCCTTTTCATTTTCTTGCTATGTCTAACAAAAATAGTAGTAAATACTAGGTATAGGTAAGTTTTGTTAATATTGGGTTGTGCTGTGTAGTCATGGAGCTATTTGAACTTGCACTTTTCCTTTTATTGTATCATATAGTATTTTTTCTTTACAGATTTTATTTTTATTTTTCACACTTTTAGTCCTTTGGCAGAGATAGTTGAATGGAGATGATGACAGGTTAGGTCAGTTTTTATTTTTCTAACAGTTTTACTAATTTGTTAGACATTATTAGAAATGAGTGGCATGGTGAGTTATTTTCCCTTTCTTAATCTGATCCAGATGACAAAAACACGTCTGGAGGTTATGTACTGTTACGTTTCTTTACAGTTTACACTCTGAATCTTTGATTTTATTTTTTTTCTTACATTTTCTTTTACTTGTTTCTGGGGTAATCGTGAATCCCTGGGTTTCTGCTTGCTGAGGTATAAATTTGTTGCATGATTGCGTCAAGTAGATGGACCCAGTTGGGTCACACTTGTAACATGACTAGACAAAACTAAAACTAATTGATTACTTCTATAAGTGCAGTTCAGCTTGGCTTGCATACAAGCCCCATCATGTAGATTTCTATTTGACCAAATAATTTAACCGTCAAATCAAATTGTCCACTATTCTTGTGGGGTCCATCAAACTAATTGATTCTTTATAACATATTATATTTTGTCTCAACAGTGTAAAGGTTGGATGATTTGCAATCTTGAATACACTGAAACCTTACAAAGCACTTACAATAACAAGTTTCATTGCTATCAATGCAGGTAGGGAATGAGCTAGGAGCTGGTAAACCTTACAAGGCAAAGCTAGCAGCGATGGTTGCCTTAGGATGTGCTTTTGTGATAGGCTTCATCAATGTGACATGGACTGTGATCCTTGGACAAAGATGGGCCGGGCTTTTCACCAATGATGAGCCTGTTAAAGCCTTGGTTGCTTCAGTGATGCCAATCATGGGCTTATGTGAGCTTGGAAACTGCCCACAAACAACAGGCTGCGGCATCCTCCGAGGCACTGCCCGGCCTGTTGTAGGGGCTCACATAAACCTGGGCTCATTCTACTTTGTGGGTACTCCTGTGGCTGTGGGCCTGGCATTTTGGTTCAAGATTGGGTTCAGTGGGCTTTGGTTTGGGCTTCTCTCTGCACAGGTAGCATGTGCTGTGTCAATCCTCTATGTTGTGTTGGTACGCACAGATTGGGAAGCTGAGGCTTTGAAGGCTGAGAAGCTCACTAGAATTGAAATGGGTAGTTGCAATGGGGTTAGGAGTAAGGACGATGTAAAAGATGAAGAAAGTGATAGGTTGTTGGTGAATGGAAATGAGAACAACAAAGATGACATATGCTAAAGTAACAAGGACAATTGGGATTTTGTTTGTTGGTAAGATTAAATATGTTGCTTAGTAGATTGGAGTTGGAGCGCTGAGTGGTGTTTGTAATTGTGGCTATAGCAGCTTAGGTTGATGAGTTACTTTCTGGTAATTTTGAGTACTTAATCCGTTATTTTCTTTTTTTTCCCTTTTCCCAACTTCCTTTTCAGCTTTTCCAAAGGATCTTGGGAAACCAAGTCTCGTTTTCTATCAAATGTTAAATATTTTAACAATTTTTATCTTTTTCTTCTTAATGGGCAAAATTTTGGTGTTGTCATAAAAAAAAGTAGCTTTAACTCGTGATTGACCAGTGCATGGAGATGTGGCTGCGATGTGAGAATCTGGCATCTGACATTTGCAAATTTTTAGATATAAGGCTGAGACTGAGATTAAACTGAAAGCAGCTTTGCCTATAATAATTCGAGGCGTGTAAAACTCGTGTCAGTGAATGATTTGTGCTTATGGCCAACAATTTCATTCTTTGCTTACTCATCACAAATAATTTTATATATATGTAATCTATATAAAATTCGAGACATATGTACTCACATTCAAATTATTTTAATTTTAAAAATTTTCTATAAAATATTTTTATTATCAATAAAATTATAAGAGAAAAATAACATTTTTTAAACAAAAATTACTTAATTTTGATAAACATTTAAGTGCTAATATATGCATTCATTTATAAACAAATTTTTTAAACCTTATTGTTTGTTTTTAAATATAATATATATTAGTGTTATAATATTAAAATATTTAGATGTTTTGTAGGTTTTTTATTTTTCTTTTTAAATATAAAAAAGTGTTTTATTTAATATATTTTTTGTATATGTTTGTTTGTGTTATCACATTAGTTTGATATGTTTAGTTTACTGAATTGAAACGTAAACATTGTGTGATTGAAATGTTTGTGGATTATATTATGTATCATAATAAATGAAAAAACATCATAGTAGACTTAAATATACAATTAGTGTTTTTATATTGAGTCTTATTTTTATTTTTTATTTTAACATATATTAAAATATTTTAATTGAATAATGTGAAGTGTACAATTTTTGTGCAAATTTTGTTAATATTGTAAAGCGTGTGGCATTAGAAATTTGATAAAGATAAAAAATTTTACATGTATTAACTACAAATAATCTTGGAAAAAAGTAAAAAATAAAAGAAGATAAAAATGACAAAAGAAAGTGAAAAATAAAAAAAATGATTAAAAAAGATGAAAAATAAAAAAAGATAAAAAAGAAATTGACAAATGATAATTAATAAAGATGAAATATTTACATATATTAATTAAAAATGATCTCAAAAAAAAGTAAAAGAAAGAAAATGACAAAAGAATGTGAAAAGTAAAATAAGAAAAAAATGACAAAAGCTAGTAACTAATAAAGATAAGATATTTATATGTATTAATCAGAAATAATCTTGAAAAAGGTAAAAGATAAAGAAGATAAAAAATGATAAAAGAAAGTAAAAAGTAAAAGAAGATAAAAAAAAAAAAAAAGAAGATAAAAGCTGACAACTAATTAAGATGATATTAATTATAAATGATTTCAAAAATGGTAAAAGATAAAAGAAGATGGAAAATGACAAAAGAAGATAACAACTAAAAAAAGATTAAAAAAATGATAAAAATTGATATATAATAAAGATGAAATATTTACATGTATTAACAAAAAATGATTTAAAAAAGGTAAAAGATAAAAGAAGATAGAAAATAATAAAAGAAGGCGAAAAGTAAAAAAAAAAAGAAAAAAAAAGAGATAAAAGCTGATAACTAATAAAGATGATATTAACTAGAAATAATTTCGGGGAAAGGTAAAAAATAAAAGAAGATAAAAAATGACAAAAGAAGATGACAAGTAAAAAAAATAAAAAATTTGATAGAAATTGACATATAATAAAGATGAAATATTTACATGTATTAACTAGAAATGATTTCAAAAAAAAAGTAAAAGATAAAAGAAGATAAAAAAATGACAAAAGAAAGTGATAAGTAAAAGAAGATAAAAAATGATAAAAGTTGACATATAATAAAAATGAAATATTTACATGTATTAACTATAAATGATTTTGAAAAAAGTAAAAAGTAAAAGAAGATAAAAAATGGCAAATAAAAGAACATATTTTAGTTCATATGCAGTGTTGTTCAAATTAATCTCTTAAATTTTAAATTTTAGTTTTTAAAATTAATAATTATTAATCATGTTAGTCTTTATCGTTAATAGATATTAAAATTGAGTAAGAAAGTAATGATTTATTATGTTAAGTGACGCATGTTAATTTATTTTGTATACAAAATAATGTCCTTTAAGAATATTTTAAAAGTAGTTTATTTTCATCTTTGAATTCTAATATTTTCAAGCAATAAAGTCTCTTCTTGTCTTTTGCTTCAATTTTTTAATGACATCTTTGTCCTTTACCTTACTATTGTTGTGATGACATTCACGTTACAAAGTTTCTTCATCTTAGCATTTGTCATTTGAATCACTAAATTCAAGACTCAAATCTATGGGTGGACAACCAGTTGTAATCAATTTAGTTAAGAGGTCTCCTATGTGTAACATTGAAGACAATGAGTACATTATGAATATGTGAGTTTTTGGAGTCTTACAATTATTGGTCATGTCAATGATTAAATTCTCTTTGAAGTTTCTTTGTTACAAATGAAAAAATCATTTATATATTATGGTCATGTTAATCCTTTTCTTGTTAAGGTTGGTACTCAAATTGTTACCTTAAGACTTCCTGATTTCTTGAGTATATTTAAAGCTACTAATTATGAAACTCTTATATCCTTTGACAATTATTCTTTTGCAGTTTAAAACTTCTTTGAGGTGAATAAGGGAGAAATTGCTGCAATTTTTCTCAAACATATTAAAAATGTTAATTTTATTGTTCCTGTACATGATAGTCTATTACAGCGATCACTAGAGGAAAGAAAAAAATGTCTTGAAAGAAGACAAAATAGAAGACGAAAAAAAATTTTATTGTTCAAAAATGTAAAAAGTTAGACAAAAATAAACTATTTTTTAAAAAAAATTCTAAAATAACATTATTTTATATTTAAAATGTATTCACGTGTTATTTAATGTGATAAATTATTACTTTATTATGATAATTTTAATATTTTTTAATGATTAGACTAATGTGATTAATAATTATTAATTTTTAAAAAATAACTTTAGTGAAGTTACATATTTTATTATTTTAAAGATTGAAGTAGAAATTTACCTTTAACAAATGGTAAAAATTTGAAATTCTTTATAACACCCTACACGTGAAATTGGCAAAAAAGAAAAAAAGTGTTATATAAGTTTTACAATAATTTTTTTTTGCTTGATGGAAGAAGTTCCAAGTTGAACTGCATTTAATAACGTTATTACGCTGAAAGAAGATTTAGTTTCACTTTTAATTTATTTTATGAGTAAATTTAAATTTTCTTGTTTCAATTGTTTATCTTTAATTTTTAATTATTTAAATTAAATTTCTAATTTTAATTTATCTTAATAATTCACAAAAATATAAAAATATATAAATATCATTGATTCATATAAACTTGTAAAGAAAAAAAATATAAAATTATTAAATAAAAAAATCACTTTAATTATATTTTATATAATTTATTTAGTATTTTTTTATTTTAAATCTTTATATTAATTTATATAAACTGATAATATATCATATACCATTATATTATTGTAAATTGTCTGATAAAATTTTAGAATACAAGAGTAAATTTGAACAGTTAAAAATTATAAAAAATAAATATAAATAATTAAAAGAGAAATTAAAATTACTCATAATTTAAAGTATAGAAATAAATAAATAAAATAAAATATTAAAAAATTAAAGTTATACATATATGTTTTGATCCATTATGATAACTTTTTAGATAAACTTCTTTCTTTAGAAGAAGTAAAGAAATTAATATTTAAATATAACTTTTTATTTTATAGAGTAAGATAAGTTTGTAAGCTGAAGAATGAAAATAGGCTGAAGGTGTACCTCAATTCATAAGTAGTGGTACGATGATTAAAATAAAGCAATGAGTTGAAGAGGAGAAATTTAAATTTATGTCTGGTTGATTTTTTTCTAAAACAATAAACTAATAGTATAGGTTGAATTAATAAATTTCTCATTTAAATTTGTAACATCCAATAAATATAATTATGAAAATATTTATTAATAATAAATATTTACTAATTATAAATGCTCTTCTCTAACCCGTTTTCACAAACAGTGATTTTCCCCAAAATAAACTAGACAAAAGATTTTATTTTACTAGGAAAACTTTGCGTTGCTCGATACAGTCTTATATATAGTTAAAAGGGTATTGGTGGTTTTCAAAACTATATAGTTAGACACACTTATAGTTCGTACATAATTGGAGTTGGCTTTTGAGCTTTTGTTGGATATGTCAAACATGGAAAAAGATCAATGAATAAAACAAAGCATGTGAATGTTGTTATGTACAATTATTTACACTTTTATATGCAGTGTCCCATGCGCAAGAGTAAGGGAATTAAATGTGATTAAAATATGTTAAGGATGGAATTTTGTGTCATCTTCCTGTATTGAGCTTTGTCCTTAGTAGAGCAGCATGCTTTCTTCTGCTTCCTTCACTGCACATTTTCTCCACTTCTCTTTGTAAGTTTACAATGCATCCAAATTGACTTCCCATTAATCTCACTTGATCGTCCTATTAAATTTTTAATAATTTTTAAAAGTTCTATTTACTTTATTTAATCTTTGATAGGTATTGGGTACTTGATTTAGACTTACTGTAAAAATTTTAAAAATGTATACTAATAAATAAATTAGTATATTAATATTTTTACATTGGCAATCTATATTAATATTTGATATTAATAAAATAATTTGAAGTATAATATATATATAAATATATATATATATATTATAGTGACTTGAATTTCTTCTCCAATAATAATATATATCAAAAACCACTCGAA